AGAGAGAGACAGAGAGAGACAGAGAGAGAGAGAGAGAGAGAGAGAGAGAGAGAGAGAGAGAGAGAAACAAGTTGACGTGTTTCGGTAAATTTCGTTTCTTTGTTTCACGCTTTTTGTTCAATTACGACTAAATTAACTCTGTATGTATGTTAAGTTGGCCAGCTGTCGTGTTCGCGCTTGGGGTATCTTGTATATAGCATTTTCATCTTTGTTTCTGTCATACGTGTTTTCCGGGGTGGGCTTGTGTGCAGCAGCTCTTTCGCAAGCGCTCAACTAATCCTGCGTTTGGTGGCGACGGGCTTTGACCGTTCGTTTCTTTTCAATATGAGCACTGCTGTCACCGACTTCTTTTGGGTATTGATAGCAGGCCGCGGTGGTGCTTGGGTGTATCATATTGTTCATAGTCGATGTGACGATATCGTATCGTTTGTTTGTAGTTGGGGGGGAGGGGGGGGGGCGGTTGCTTGGCGGCATGGTTGTCACGGAAATGGGCGGAGCGAATGGAGCGAGGTTTTTCTGTAGTGAGCCTCCGCTGCAAACATACTTGCCGCTGGCGTTGTACCCTCGGTTTACTGAAAGCTGGGTTCCTTGGCTACTGCTTTCCATGCACTACACTTAGATTTGTCGAAGCAAGGGCTAGCTATTCCGTCTCCCGAAGCCCCCTTGATTCGCTTTTGCACTATCTAGTCTACCATCTAGTCTACAGGTAGGACCTTCTCCGTGTTGGCAATTGGACAAGATCGCTGGACCACGTCCCTGTGCAGGGTTCTAAATCAAAGAGGTTGCGCAGGGTTCGAAAGAGAAGGGTTGTGCATCCTTCGAGACAATGCTGGGATTGTGAAAACCCCTCCCCCCCAAAAACAGTGCACACTGTTGACAATCAAAGTCGATACATATTTTTTGTGGTATGCATACAATTCATGCATGCTTGAGGCTTTGTGCGGATGTATGTGCATACGCTTCCTACATACCAGTAGATTATTGTGAACGATATTTTTCATTTCTTGTGTTTTACCTAGGGTTTTAGTGCACATGAAAGCATGATGATGTGGCTTCATTGTATGCGTATCCGAGGCTGATGTCCTCAAGGGGGCGAGAGAGAGAAAGAGAGAGGCAGAGAGGCTTGGTACAGTACCGTGGGTAGTATAGGATATCACACCCCCTGGCCCGATTCTCAAAGCTCGATTACTCGGCAGGAAAGGCAGTGACGGTGCCGAAATGCGGGAGGCGTTGGAAGCGTCTCGTCGAGAGCTTTCCGGCAACGCACTATGATTCAGCATCCTCTTCGTCGTGGAGTAATGAAGCTTCGAATCGTTCCAGGGGCTGCGGTATCTTATGCAACCTACCGTATCTGGCGCGTTTGACGATGAATTATGGAAATTGGGGGCGTTCGGTGCACGGATCGCGAACATGATGGAAGAGTGCGCGTGGTACATGCAGTGTACTCAAATGCGCATGCATGTGTTGGCTCCGTGCCTTCAGTTACGGAGGAGGCGAGGAGCGAGAGGGCATAAAAAAACACGACACTTTCCGGTCGTCTCCGTAGTTTTTTTATTCCTTTGTGCGACGTGATGTCTACCACTACATAGTGTAGTGCGGTTCTGACTCGAGGTAGAAACCCTCCGACAGATTCAAAGTCATTTTCGTTTTTCGTCAAACGAAAAGGAGAGAAGAATGTTCTTCTGAAAGTGTTCCAATCTTCTGAAGTAACTCCCGTCTGCCGTCCGATTGAACACCCCAAGGCACCACTACATTACCCCCCCCCCCCCTCCTTGGACTTGTAGCGTTGTTAATGTAGTAATAAACGGGGTGGATTATCCCCGAAAAGGGAACACGATACAGTACAATATACCAATATAAAACGAAAAGACAAGGGTTTACCTTTTCATTTAAACTACGTATAGTCTAACAATAAGAGTATTTTCTGCTTGAACGCAGCGTCGAAGCAACAAAGGACATTTAGTTACAAACAAGGAGCGCTTGAGCCTCCACTTCGTACCCCCCCCCCCCCCCCCCCGACCCCCTCCCCCCAATAAAAACCCCTTTAAAGAACGAAAAATTTTTTCAGAACCCCAAAAAAACCGGGGGGCCAAAAACCCCCCCTGGTCCCCAGGGCCCAAAACCCAATCCCAAAACACAAAATAGGGAAGGGAGAGAGAAAAACCAAGCAACCCCGGGGAAAACCCCCAAAGAAAGCGGAGCAAAGGGGGGAGCCAAAACCAAGGGCGCCAGAATGGAAAAAATTTAAAGGGGGACGGGGCAAAAAAAAAACAAATGGGGGCGGTTTTTTTGGTGACCTTTTCCCTCCCCCCCGGGCAAGGGAGGGAAAAGGGTGTTCCGGGGGGGGGTACCCCCACCGGCCCACGGGGGGGGGGCCCCCAAACGCAAGAAAAGCCCGGACACCCCCAGACCCCCAAAAAAAAAACCCGGGGGTTTTTCCTCCCTGGACACCTGGGGAGATTGGAGCCCCCCCCCGGGGCAA